GGTCGATCCTGCGAGGACACCTTCCTCGGCTGACTGGACTTTGGGCCTCCACTCGGTGTTCTTGGGACAAGTGAAGTCGGAGCACAGCAGGGGGTCACAGCAGTCCTCGAGATGCACTCCACGGATCTCTGCAGGCTTGTCTTTGAGCTTCCAAAGGGACTNNCAGTGGTGCTCCTCGCAGCACTCCACATCGCTCCAGCCCTTGAGGGTGGTCTCCTTGCCCGTCGACTGGTCGATGACGGTGATGGACTTCTTCTTCATGATGTTGACGTCGGAGCAAGTCCAATCCATGCACTCTTTCTGGATGCAGCACTCCTCCTTGCTGCTTCCTTTCAGACCCGTCGCCGGGTGCTTCTCCCAACCCGTGATGTTGTCGCAGAAATCCGAAGGGCAGAACTTGGCCGTGCAGCAAGCCTGCGGGGTGGAGCCCATGCGGGTGTCGAAGTCCTTGCGGGGTTCCCACTGGCTCGTCGGTGAGCAAGTGACCTCATCCTTGCAGAACCTGGGCTCGCAGCAAGCACTCTCTGACCACCCGAAAGCCTCATCGCCCTTGAGCTTCTGCGTGAGCGGATGGGGGCACTTGAAGCCCTTGCACACCTGGGGAGTCAGACAGATGCCGCTCATGGTGACCTCACCGTTGGTGAAGGGCTTGTCGTCTCGGTACTGGAACTCCGTGTGTTGAGCCGAGGACAAGACCCGGGCCTGTGTGCTTAGGACGCAATCCACGCAGCCGGCAGGCACCACGATGTCCAAAAAGCCTGGGTTCGTCTCGAGGGGTCTAGTAGATGTCCACAGTCTTGCAAGTAGCTTAGCTCCAGGTCCGATCAAGAGCCTTCTGTTTCCGGCCTTTCGACATACCTACCCCGGCCTGAGCCCTCAGCCAAAATGCCCTTGAGCAATTTTAAGGTCAATTGAGACAAATCAGGAGCCTGGACCCTGAACCCCTAAAGCCCTAAAGCCCCAAAAACCCTGAACCTCCCTAAACCCCTTTCAACCCTAAACCCTAAACTCAGCTGCCCAGTACCCTGGCCCAAAAAAACTTAAACTTTTCTTTAGTAGGGGTTTAACATACCAAAAAAGTTTAAAGTTTACCCATTGAGCTCCTATTTAAAGTCTAAAGTTCAAAGCCCTAAAGCCCCATAACCCTGAACCCCCCCCAAAGCCTGAAGCTCAAAGCAGCATGGGAGCCTTTGTCCTCGCCGCCCTGGAAGCCGAAGCTGCGGCTGGTGGGCCCGTTGTTCGTGAACGTCGCCTTGAGGATCCACGGCTGACCGATCCTGAGTTCGTCTTCTGTAGAAAATACTAGCTAATAATTTCATGGCAGTAACAATAATAACAAAAGCACTACTAACAACAATAACAATAACAACAACAAGAATAACAATAACAATAACAATACCAAGAAGAAGAATAATAACAATAATAACAACAGTAATACTGATAGTATCGGTACTTCGCCTTCGGCCCCGGCCGAAGCGGTCAGAGGTTTTTCACGGGACTCCCCGTTTCCCAATCTCTTAATCCCCTCCCCAGTGACCCACCCCCCTGCTCCCCCGCCTGCCTCTGAAGTGGATTTCGGGTTGGCCACCCCTACGGCCAGAGAGTGGACTTGCTGGGAGCTTCCCCAAGTTTGGGCGTTGAGCATCCCGACGGGGTAGCTTACATTTCGTGAAGTTGATGCCGGCGTTCTGGGGTTGTGTCTTGTACTTCGTTGCAAAGCTTGATTCGCCTTCCCTCATATGGTAGGTCGTATTACGAGACCAATGAGAAGTGTGATACGATTATTATAGATACTGTTACTGTCTATGGGACATTGCAGGGAATGTGCCACCTGTCACGTGGGAAAATTGCTCAGAGCCTCAGCATGAAAACAAACACTGACATGTAAAAACATTCTGAAGCAAATGCTCTTATTCACTCAAGACCTCACCTGTGTGACCTACCCGTTACCTTGCGAAACAATGCACCTGCTTCAACTACAGCCGGGCCGAGACGGACGACGCGAAGCATTGGAAATATTACCAGCAAGAATAACGGCACGAACAATGGTCGGTAAACTTTAAAGAAATGAACAAATACATCGACTCCTAAATAGACAGTAGGTGCAAATTTGTAAACCGGCTGTAGAGGCTGTATGAGGTTTGTACGTGTTGAACATGTTCTTGTTAAGCAGACTGGCTCAAGATAACAGATACATGAACAGGGATTGACGAGTCTCCTATAGGGTTGTTCACGCGGGCTTGCTGTTGGGTCTGGTGCCAGGCACGCTTTCTCTGCGTATGGGCACTGAACGTCAGGGGCTTGCATAACTAGAGCATGGTTTCGGGTATATTGTTGTTTCACTATCATACACAGGGTGTAGGGGTTTAGGGTTTAGGGTTTAACCCTAAACCCTAAACTTATAATGGAATACTATGGCTGTGGATTGCAACTGCTCCATAAAACCCGACACCTTTCACCGTACCATTTCACCTTTGCCAAGTCTCTTCCATTGCTCCTCCTTGGCCAAGGCCTCACGCAGCTTCGTAGTGTCCCAAATGGAATCCTGGGTCGTTCCAAGGGCAAGGCAAAATGAGTCATGTGTGGATGGTGCCAGGTTTGAGGGTTATAAGACCATGATGGAGTATGTGCAGGGCTTTAGGGTTGTTATCGGACCAGGATGGAATTCAAACTCATCCGAAATTGCCGGCAAGACTCCAGCTTGTTCTTGCCAATGATCGTGTAGCTCTTGTCAAGCCCGGAGGGGTAGCGATTCGGCTGTCCTGGGTTATTCGGGTTTTGGGGGCTTGGGATATTGAGTTCCCATCACAAGCCCTAAACCCCTAAACCCTAAACCCCTAAACCCTAAAAGGCCTGATGGTAATTTTGACACTGGATGCTTCGAGCCCGGTCCTCCAGGGCAAGGGTTTTCTTCCTCCTCGGCGCGCAACGCTTGGGCCCGGGATCGTCCCGTGCGAAGTGCGGTGCGGCCCTGGCCCACAGAGGCCAGGGCGGCAAAAGCGGCCAGAACGGCACAGAACTTCATTGTCGGGAGTAGACTAATAAGGCAGCAGCCTCGAGCCACTGCAAAAAACGGAGTGCATAGGAACACGTAGGAATATGCATGCTGGACAAGTCCCCCAAAGCAGGTGCGCAAGGTAAGCTGACCAGATGCGACGTTTGCCCATTCCTCCCTAAACCACGAAGATGCAGTAGTTCTCGAGTGAAAGAGTAGTAGGCCAGCCTGTGCACTGAAACTGCCACCCTGGAATGTGCGGCTGTCCCCAGGCGTCTAGTTACAACTTTGCACTGCATGTGGTGCCATAGAGTTCTGCACCGAGGGGCTCTATACGTACTCCAAAAGCCGCAAGTCCATGAGCACCGCGATGAATGAGACATATATATATATATATGATGCTGATGATGATTATGATGATGATGATGACGATGTATGTATATATATATATATGTACCCATAGATGTATTCCGTCTCTTTTCGATGAAAGATAGCCCCAAGACCTTCGCTAGCTTCACTCGGACCCAGGGGAGGTAGCAAAGGGACACATTCCACTCTGAGTATGCGGCTTCGGCATCCACGGAATGGATCTGCACGCTTCAGGTGTGACTGTCGACACATGCATCTCAGATGTTGCGTGTTAAGGTAAAGAAAACGCAGGACATGTATGTACCATGGGTGCTCGAATCTGAGTGAATGGCTGAAGGGCTCTTGATTCAATGATCCTTGTGCTTACTATGGCCTGTGCACCCGCATCATGCATCCGCCAGCGTCTTGCGAATAATACAAACCCTTCAGCATGCTTTTGCCCAAGCAAGACCAAATCTTCCTCCGATTGTGCCAACGGAAGTAACGAAGCAGAGCCAACATAACCAACACAAGCTGATTCCATGCAGTGTTGTGTGACTGCAGTACAGAGACTCCCAGTCGAATTTTACAAATGCACCGGTGCATCGCATGATTCCAAGCTCCCAGCCGCCATGCTCACAAAGCCTGACAGCTGGTTGGTTTTAGGGTGTAGGGCTCTGGGTAGCTGAATGCTGAAGTTCCCCTAGTAAGTTCAGGTCTTCGCACTGAAATCTTTACAATAACAGTAGCAGCAGTAATACGGCCAATAGTAAGAAGAATAAAGTGAATCTGCTACTGTGGTTGATTTTAGTAATAATACTATAGTAATCATACCAATAACAAAGGACATCATAATAATATAATAATCATCATAATGATTGTAATAAGACTAATCATAACAAAACTTATTATTACTAATGTTATTGTTACTAGTACCGCCATACTGTTATTATGATTATTACTACTACTATGATCAATATTCTTAGTAGTACTATCGCTATCTTTGTTGTGGTCGTTATTGCTGGATCCCACGAATCTCCTCTCCCCCTTCTCCCCCAATTACTCGAAGCCTTCGTGGAAACCAGGGATCCAAATCTCGGGGCGGGGGGCGGGGGGCGGGGACCGCACATCTTCTGACAAATGTAAGTAAGAGTTAGGATAAGGGGACGCTTGGGGATGTAGACCCTCTCAATAAGGTCCCTTTTGAGCGAACCAGAAGTAGGGTTAAGAAGCGTCCCCTTTGAAGGGGTCTCCCTAATACTACTGGGGATGTAATGTACGAACCTGACTAAGAGCATCTGGTCCTATCACATTCGGATCCATATATCAAGAGCTCTACTAAACACCCACGGTTGTAATCAGGTTCCTACATGCGTAACGGTAGCAGCTGCTCTGGAGATGATCTTGAATAAGTTTATGTAGGGGCCTTGATAGTTAGAACAGGGTTTGGGACAGATTATGCTATAACTATAAACAAGGAACCTCCCCAAAAATTAGTATAGGGTCATTATCATAAGGAAGCCTCCCCATGGATAGTTTAAGTAGAGGTAGTTATAATAAGGAGCCCCCCCCCCGAAATAGTATAGGTCATTCTTATGGAGGCCCTCCCCCCTTTTTTTGAAGGCCACTTTCCGGCATTTTCGGGGCAACTCCGGCCTCTGGAGTTCCCGGCGGCTGAGCCGCGCAGCTGACTACGACGTCTTAAAGCGAATTCGAGCCTGTGGAAAATGGGTAGCTTCTCTAGTCTAAACTCGGGGTTAGGGTTTGGGTCCCCCTTATGGTAACTTCGTACGGCACCCTTATTAAAAGGACCCGAAAAGGGACCCTAATTTAGAGAACTACCCCAATTCATGCCAGGTGTCTCTGTGCGTGCTCGTCGCGGTGGTATTTCTGAGCTTAGTGTGTGCGTCCGTCTGTGAGTCTATGCTAATCACGCATTCAAGATGGCGCTATGCTGGACGTGGTCCAGTCTGATTGAAATGCAAGGGCACGTTTCCTGCCAGGGGTTTAGAATTTAGAGCTTCCGCTGTTTTGCTAGTTCTTGGGCGGTGAAAAAGAGTTATTAGGTCCATGAGCTGTGGAAATTCCAACATGACAATCATGACAATCGCTCTTTTCATCGCCTTCCCCGTCGGCCCAAGCTGCGCTCGCGGAAGTCATTCTCACCTGCATTGTGCTGTCGGAAAAACTTCTTCGGCTTGATCCGTCGGATGGCCTTTTGCTGAGCGGCGGCTCGAGATAGCCAGCGCAGTTCTGCCCATCCTCTGCTGGCGTGGCTTGGGCTGCTGACCCCCACAAGGCTCGCACACTGGCTGCCGGCACACTGCAAAGCTGTAATGTTAAAGTTGCTGGGGCCCATGACCAAGGGTACTGTGCCAGGGCCGCCAGCAAAGCAAGCCATGTAGTCGAGGCCATGGGTACCGTCACTGAAGACCGCACAGGTCTCCCCAAGTCTGCCCACAGAAAGGCAGCTGGTCCAAAAGTCTTGGATGTTGGACACATCTTGGGAATAGAGGCCCAAAAGGTCTCGAATCATCAAAGGCTTCTGGCTCACCGCGGCTTTGCGCAGGTCGAGGCCTTCGATGCCCAGACCCTGGGAGTTTTGCGTCGTGATGGCCGCGTGGTATCCATCCGAATCCACCTCAGGAGCTCTTTCTAGGGAAGACATGTCTGGATGTAGGTGTCAACAACGGCTGACGACGGCCCAAGCAAAAAGGGGAAAGAACGGTGGCTTCTGAATGTAAGTTCCCACATCCATCGTCTGTATGTCTGTATGTCTGTATGAATGTTGGACGGACAAACGTATGCATGTATGTATGTATGCATGTACGTATGCACAAACGTATGTATGTATGTATGTATGTATGCATGTATGTGTGTGATTATGTGGTTATGTGTGTGCGTATGTATGTATGTATGTATGTATGTATGTATGTATGTATGTATGCGCTGCCGCAAGTGCAAGTATGTATGCATGCACGCATGCTATCCACCTTCTATCCATGCAGCTATCTACCTCTCCAAATCCGTGCGTCTATCTCTACTCTCTCTATTCTGTAAACCACTGTATGCTAAGATAATAAGGAACCCTAAACCCTAAACCCCTAAATACCTAAACCCTAAACCC